CGTATACTAATGATTCCGAACGAAATTTCTAACCCGTGAGCTAGTAAAACATGGTCGTGCAACACCGTAGAGTTTATTAGCGTTAACGCTTCGTCGGAAACGAAAGATTACGACACGAGGCGTGTCGAATCGCCGAATGGAAAGTTTCCATCATGCGTCAGTTTGGTTTCATGTATTGCCATGTCGAATCGCAAATTGTACATGTTTACAGTTCTTTTTAACCAGATTTACCTGTTCGGACAATTCCTTCTTTCGATTTTTTTGGCAGGTGGATACTGTTATCTCGAGTGGATGCTCTTCATAACTTCAAAACTTTTGGTATATGTCTACCGTATCTTCCTATTAATTTCTTTTATGAGAAGCGGCGAGTGACAAATGACTAGCCCCATTACTTTGGACGGTATACTGTTACTGGAAGCATATAAGTAAATTGCCCTCGTCCATCGTCCATGACCTGTAGTTGTAGATGGTCGAAAAGCAAACCGCACTAAAGCACACAAATAGCTATAAAGATATCGACCAAAGATCAAAAGTTGTTTGAGACTTCTTTTCACTTTGGTAGACAGGTTGACAAATGCCATGCCCTAATTAATGGACAGGCCAGTTGAAATAATCGCCTGATGATGTAACCCTGGATATAACCATTGTTTCTTTCTTGGCTTGTGTTTCATTCATCCCACATTTCCTTTGTTACTGACACTGGAGTTGTTTTTTTATCTTTTTTATCTATTGGAATTTGATTATTATGGTCTCATATTAGTATTATTATAACGGACTAGGATGGCATTCATATTAACTGATATATTTGTGTGTAACACACTGACAATGCTAAACAAAAACACAAACAAAATATTTAAATGCCATTTTGTATGAAGGTCAACAGAAATACTTTATCATTTATATTTATTATGTGATACATCACCAAAAATGAAAACATAAAAAAATACATTCCTCGCAAAATCATTAATCAAACGTAAAGGTATTGAAAGTCACAACCACACGACATAAAAAGTGACAAACATTGCAGTCCACTGCATACAATCATCATGTCTCTTTTTTTCCTATGGCTATACTATTTTCACATGTCAAATTGTTACTATAATTCACATTCCAATGAACTTTATCAGCAACTGGTATTCAGAAGTTTACCGATGCTTTGTCTTTTGTGAAATACATTACTTCTGATTGTGACACTAAATACACCACCAATTTTTAAAAAATGTATACAAAACGTTTAAAATATGGCAATGAAAAAAAAAAATTGAAGACAAGACATAACATATCACTGCAGAAATTTGAAACCCCATATATCCAACTATGACAAAAAATCCTCTTTATTATACATTTCCAAGAACATATCAAAGTCATTAATTCCAGCATACTCTTTCATGATATCCTACACATATTTAGGCACTAAATGACTAGACAAGCCATTGCTCTAACATATCTTCAACAAAGAGCATACGCCATAAGAGATTCTTTTGCATTTGAGCACTTTTTAATTCTTCAAAATTATGCAACTAAAGGG